TTTTTTTATTTCAGCTTCCAGATCAATAGAACAAAGTAACTTGAGAAGTCTGAAATGTACTGAACTTCAATTACTCACCAAAATAGCACTTTGCCAGCATTGTAGGACTCAGGATTGCTTCACCTGGTGACTTCCTCCTTTTCTTCACCTGGTGTTGGGTGCTCTCTGGCAGCGAATACCTCTTCCGTGCAATTCTCGTGTGATATTCAGTCGACTGCAGTGGTGATCCTGTTTCCGAAGATGTAGAACGCCGTGATGGGCCTGGGTTGGTGATGGCGTCGATCCTGCAGATGAGAATCAAATTGTTCCATAGTTACCATGAGATAATCTCCACGCGGGCAGGACATGCTTGCAGCAAAATGGGAAAAATTAAAGAAGGGAATACAAACTGGTTTCCATCTCTAATGTTCGAAACCATCAAGTTGATCCCTTGCACCAAACGCGATACAGTCCTCTCTTGATAATCCCCCATGATGGCAGATGTGAGCTTGGTCTTAGTACAGATCCGTGTAATAGGGAATGCCACGGTGTCCTTCCTGCCGTGAAACTCCAACTAGATAAAGGAAATGGGTGAGATTTTTTTATTCAAAAAACCTTTTGTTTTTCCTCAGAGGGAGTAAAAATAGAGTAGCTCGGCCAAAGAATGAGTAAAATACATGCTCCTTTTCTCATGCAGGGTGTCCACAAAATTCCAAATTGTACTTAGAAAAGAACTTTTTAACCTCAATTTAAAACCTATGTCAGCCAAAAGAAATGCAATCTATCGAAGTTTTTGATATTTTTGTCGGTGAAAGTTTGATACTTTTCACTCCTTCGTCACCAGGTATCATTAGCTATCCTTTTCAGACATGGCGTCTATCCAAGAAAAGACAGTTTCTTTTGTTTTGGGAAATTTGAATCATTTACCAGCGTTGGTCATGAATTTCACTTTACAAGAGGCAGTCTCCGAATGTAAAATGAATTAAAAGATGCATTAAATATTCAAGGAAACAGGAAGTGTTAAAGACAGAGATAGGTCTGGAAGATCAAGAACCTCGGAATGTTATGAACATTTGTGAATACTTTACAGGTAACCCCCCCAAAAACCTATCCAACGTTGCCGCTTCCAATTACGGAAACAAAGTTCGACATTAGGCGCTTTGTAAACGTCTCCTCCTCCAGGCCTACAAATTGCAGCCTGCGCAAGAAATCAAACCTATGATACGCGTTATATCTTGCGAAAACTGTGTGAAACTGACAGTGCTGAACGTCTTCCAGTCACAGGCCGTCCCAGAAGAGCAAGAACGCCAGAAAACATTGACGCTGTGACCAATTTTCCCTGTAAGGGTTTCTGAAAAAGTGTTAAAAAAAAGGTATAAAAAAATTAACACTGCAAAGAGGAGCACTCAGCACAACGGGCGGAATACACCACCGGAGGCCGTTTAACTTTTGTCACGATCTTCTGCTAGTCGGTTATCCAAATCAAGCATCAAAGTCTTCAAATTTTCATCCTTCAAATTATGAAGAAGGGAAAGAAGGTAGGGAGCAATTAGGAAGGAAGGAAACGACGGCGCGCGCGACCTTGAAGGCAGCTGCTGAGGATTATTTCTACGGGCGGCACGGTATAGGTTCGTTTTGGCAACTTTTTTTTCCGCTATGTTTTTTTCAAACGGCCATGACTCATCTCCAAATGAATGTAGGAACCTAAATCCATACATTTTCAAAAAGAAGATGAAATGAACTTTCTTTTAGTTTTTTTTTTCGACTCTGTAGCCCAAACCGTTTTGGAGATATTCACATTTTTATACAGGGGTAAAAACTTTTGGCCCACCCTGTATATATTTAAAAACTTCTCCCCCCAAAATATGTACCCCCAGGGCATTTACCTCCAATGTCGGATTTTTTCCTGAACTCTGCATCCCTAAAGGTGCATGTGTGCCAATTTTCAGATTTCTAACTTCTCTGGAACATGGTTAGAATTAACGTCAGTCAGTCAGTCACGATCGTCTATATATATGAGATTCCTCATCTCCTTCGTCTCCCCTCCCTTTCCCCTCCTACTTCCTTATCCTCGGATTGACCCACGCATGAATGTAAATGTCACATCTCCGGAGTTTTGATTGTGAGGGAACGATCATCAGTGTTGACCTGCTGCTGTTTCTGTTTCTCGCTCCCTTTCTTGAAAGGCCATGGAGTGCCGCAGAGAATTCTAAGGGCTGATTGCATGAACGATGTTCATTTTAGACATTGATTATCTGTAGTTATAGTTTAAACACTACCTGGAAACGACACCTTTTTCAGCTTCTGTTGAACGTCGGTTTGACAATGGCCACAGGAAGAGGGCGTTCATGCAATCCATTTTTGGCCTTAGACATCGGTTAAACGATGACTTTCGAAAAACACAGGGAAAGCAGCGTTCATGCAATCGACCCTAAGTGCTTTTGAAGCGAGAGTGCTTAGACAAATCCGGGACCATCCATCCTGTACCCAGGTATTTTGCTTAAGCAAAGAAAGGGGTGGAAAGTTCAACACGCTCTGGAGTTTAGACAGTAAGATCTTCTAGGTAGTGTTTGTTGATGGTAAAATGCGCAAATATACGAGAGGGGTTTTAAACTTAAACTTGGCATAACGAAATGACTCTTTATCGCTATCCCGGAGAGTTTTACTCGCATGGAAGAATCACTGTTCATCGCAAATACAGTGAGGGACAAAACTGTTGCAATGTTTGCAAGACATTGCGAGTTTATGACTCATAACTCGAGTATGACAAGTTGAATTTTACGTAAATTTCAGTCAATCATACTTGAACTTCCTGGTTTTGGATTGGTGCTAGTCACATGTCAATTGGCCCCCAATTGGATGAGCTGCAGCTGTTGAAAGCTAACCAGGTCATTGCAACAATTTTGTCCCAACGTCCACGCTTTCCATCCACGTTATAAAAAAACCCCAGTCTCCAATTTCCCAAATGAAACCTGGCCAGAAGCCACCTAAGCAAGCCTGTAGCTTGCCTAGGTGTAGATGTGGTAGGCTTGGGTGGGGTTGGGTTCCATTTGAACGTTCCTGGCAACATGACACATGTTTCCCAACAAACTCGCGACAGCATCGCCTCACTCGTCGACCAAGGCCTCTCGAGGCCATGGTCGACGAGAGGCGTGACTGGATGCCTGGATGCTCGTTGTGCATTGGTAACCCATCTGACTGGTAATTGGGAGGCCCGGGTTCAATTCTCAGCCATTCCATGGCTTTATTTGGCTTCTCTTTCCTTCCATGTCCCGTTGATGGAATAAAATGGAGAGACACGGAAAGCTGAAACGTGGCATGGACTTGCCTACCGACATGATGAGTTCATGAAAAATGCAACATTTTAGATCCATGCCCTCAGGGCAAACTTTTGGGGCCGACGTTTTGAAGTATTTTTTTTTGTCCTGGCGTATTGATCTAGTGTGGAAAAATGCATGCAGAAAAATTCAGACTTTGGAAGGAAATGCCCGGGGGGCACAAATTTCAAAGGGAGATGTTTTCACATGATTAATTTGCATTTTTAGTTAAACCGATGGACATAGAAAGCTGTAGCATTGTATGAATGTGACTACCGAGACGAGGAGTTCAGGAAAAATGCAAAATATATGTTCCATGCCGTGTAGGGGCATATTCTTAGGGGCCGATGCTTTCATATAATTTTTTTGTTCTGCCTTATTGGGCTGGGGTGGAAATGTGAAACTTGGTACATCACTAACTATTTGGATGCTGCATGCGGAAAAATTCAGACTTTGCAAGTAAATTCCCTGGGGGCGCAATTTTCAAAGGGAGATGTTTTCAAATAATTTAATTCAATTATTTAAATTGATGAACATAGAAAGCGGAAATTTTGCATGAATGTGACTACCGAGACAAGGAGTTAAAGGAAAATGTTAAGTCTGGATACATCCCCTGGGGGAATTTTTTCGAGGGGCGATGTATAAAAAAAATTTTGTCTAACCGAATTGGACTGAAATGGAAAGGTGAAACTTGGCACACGTATAATTGACATAATATTATTGAGTTGAGGGAGCATTCAGCTTTCATGGTGCATCCCCTCCGGGCATAGCTTTTGGGTGGGTTGGGTTTTCCAAGCAAGTTTTTCCACCGCCGAAAAGGGCAAATGTATAACGTTGAAACATTCTGGGCATGTACAGTAGTTCTCTGAGGATTGATTTCGGTAAAAAAAAAAGTACAGACTTTTCAGTTAAAACGGCTCAGGGCACATATTTTGCAAAGGGCATATTTTCTTGATCCAGCGAAACGGAAGGCGCTAGAAAGTTTATAATTGGAAAAGAAGAATCTGATGGATATCTGTGTAAATAAAAAAGTATACTTTCATTATATATAGATGATCGTGAGTAGCGGACTAACTGACATAAGACACTATTCGCATACTGAGTTCAGTTAAAATTCTACTTTGTTGATACATGCCATAGGAGAACATATTCCAAAATAGTTCTCTTTGCTTCAATCAAACGGAGACACATGGAAAGCTGAAACCTGGCAAGATCGTGACTGCTGAAGGACTGAGCTCAGGAAA